CTCTTGTCTTCTTCTGTCTACTAGTCGGGTCAGAATAAACTGGGCTATAACAGACGTGATGATTGCTCGGCCATCTGGTTCCCCGGTGTTGGTGTAAGACGACGCTGTGGCCTGTGTGTTCCCAAGTGGCGACTTGCTTTGGCCAAATTGAGCCTTAGCACCGAATATGGATTGGGCAAGTCGTTGCACTTGTTTATGGTTTGGGGGCCCGTGAACCATGACTCAAGTAATTCTCGGCTCACAGGATTGTCACCTCTTGCTAGCATCTCGGCTAATGTCTCATATCGACTCATGTCTCTGATAAAAATCTGCGGCGGGTGTCGAAAAGTCAGGCAAATAAAAGTGTTGTCCCAGCGATCAAATCTTCTGTTCAATCGTGGCTTGTTGGTAGACCACCAACAGACGGAATAACTCAGTCTTCAAGGTCCTTGTCGTTGAATGATTGTAGGACTGAGACTCAAACTACAATGGCTCTCTCACCGTCCGGCCTTTATAGAATTCTGGCGCATGCCTGATCTGCAGCGCCCTCACAGCAGCCTTGTGCATGCAATCTGGAATCGGATCGCGTGTGGTACGCTTAAACGGTCTAGTTAGCTTTGTTAACCACTACCAATGCGTTCATCTTCGGCCTTTTTTATACCACCCTGCCATAAGCGTAGGATGACTGCGAGAAGGTAGAGTGCGGTATCTACAATGTAAGTGTGTCTCGTAGTAGACTAATTAAGGCGCAGTCCACCGGTACTAAGCCCACACCAACTTGAAGTAGACAGCTTTAAATACCCCTCGGGGTGGGACTGCTACCGAATTGGCAGAGCAAGGATGACATTGTCTCCCGCATCGATGCTGCTCTCTAGGTTTTCTCAATCCTTCGAAAGCGCCTATGGATCTGACGCGACATCTCCGTCGCTACGAAGATTCGTGTATATCGTGCATCCATCCGGTCAGTCCTCGTCTATGGATGTGAATGCTGGGCTTGGCGCACTGAAGATGAGCGAAGCCTGGCGGTCTTTGACCACCGCTGCCTGAGGACAGTCCTGCGAGTTAAGTATACCGACTTCATCTCAAGTGAGACAGTCCGCACTCGCTGCGACAGTATCACGAGGATA